ATTTATTATTTTTTCTACTTTGTGTGTATGAGTGTATTGCCTGCATGTAAGTGAGTGCACCTGTGAGAAAGTTTCAGATTCCCCTGGAACTGGAGTCAAGGACAGTTCGTAGCCACCATGTGGGTGCTGGGAATCGAACCCATTTCCTCTGCAAGAGCAGTCAGTGCACTTCACTGCTGAGCCATCTCTCCAGTCCTTCTTTCTAATTTTTTAATGTAGGGACTTAGAACTATAAACTTCCCTCTTAGGATTGCTTTTAAAGTGTCCCAGAGATTGTATTGTATTGTATTGTCCTTTTCTTTGAATTCCAGGAATTGTTTTATTTCTTTCTTAATTTCTCCTTTGACCCACTCATTGTTTAAGAGTGTGTTGTTTAATCTCCATGAGTTCCTGTAGTGACTAGGGCTTCATCCAGTGTTGATTTTGAGCTTTATTGCATTGTGGCCTGAGAGAGTGCATGGAATTATTTCACTTTTTTTGTATTTGTTGAGGTTTGTTTTGTGGCCCAGTATGTGGTCAATTTTTGAGAAAGTTCCATGAGGTGCTGAGTAGAAAATGTGTTCTTTGGTGATTGGGTAGAATATTTGAAAGATGTCTGTTAGGTCCATTTGATGTATGGTATCATTTAATTCAGGCCTCTCTCTGTTTATTCTTTGTCCAGTTGACCTGTCTAATGGAGACAGTGTGCCTTGGTCCTTTTATTATTGCTTATGTAAAGCTGGTTGGTCCAGGTTTCAGGTTCTCTAAGGTTTTATTATGGAGGGAACTGATCAGCTACTCAGGAGCATCCATGGAACCCCAAGTCAGGTTCCAGTCAGGTACACTCAGGCTTCCTTCTAAGGTTTGGACCCCTACTAAGAGGAACTCAGAGCAAAATTTGGGAAGTTCCCTAAGGTGGGGGGGGGTGATTTTGGGACTCTCAGTGGGTCTGCTGAGTTCTCAGCCCCTGTGCCAGAGGAGGGCCAGAATAGGCACTCTATGGCAGTCTGCTGAGATCACAGCCGCTGCGCTGATGGAGGTTAGAACCTGCTCCCCCAGGCTGTCTGCTTATATCTCAGTCTTATCCTGCCAAAGCCAAGTCTGCCCTGGGGCCTTGAGAGGGGCCTCTTGCAATCCCAGTTAGGGGGTGGGTATGGAGCAATTAGGGGAAGCTCACCACCATGTGGAGGCAGGGTGTGGGCACTCTGTCAGTCCCCTGCATTCTCAGCCCCTATGCCAGATGGAGGCTGGAACAGGCACTCTCTGGTGGTCTGCTGAGATCACAGGCCTACGCCAATGGAGGTCGGAACCCGCCCTCTCAGGCTGTCTGCTAAGATCTCAGCCTTCAGCCTAAAATATATTTTTTGTTCTTGTTTTTTGCTCTTTGAAATAGGGTTTCTCTGTAGCTCCAACTGGCCTGGGACTTGCTATGTAGACCATACTGGTCTCCATCTCACAGAGATCCGCCTACCTCTGCCTCTTGAATGCTGGGATTAAAAGTGTGTACTCCCATGCTCGGCAGAGCCTAAAATATAGGCTAAATTAACTCTGTGCTGACTCCTAAGTTAAATGATATAAGCTGCATGATTAGCACAATGTTTGGTACATAGTATAGACAATAAATGATAATTGCTGCTGGAATGAGGTGGTGAAGTTTTTAAAAAAATTATTATTGGTGCCGAAGAGATGGCTCAGCTGTTAAGATCACTGGCTGTTTTTGCAGAAGACCTGGGTTCAAATCCCAGCACCCACATGGTGGCTAATAACTGTCTGTAACTTTAGTTCCAGGGGCTCTGACACCCTCTTTTGTCCTCCATGGGCTCCACATGACATGGGTGCACTTAAATACATGCAGATATAAAATAAAATAAAATAAAATAAAATAAAATAAAATAAAATAAAATAAAACTTTAGTTTCAGGGAATCTGATACCCTCTTCTGGCCTCTGTAGGCACCAGGCACAGTGTACATACCTACATGCAGGCAAAAACACTCATATGATGGTTATGGTGGCACACACATTTAATCCCAGTACTGGGGAGGTAAAGGCAGGCAGATCTTTGTGAGTTCAAGGTCAGCTTGGTCTACACTGGGAATTCCAGGCCAAAAAATTCCTGTCTCAAGAAAGAAAGAAAGAAAGAAAGAAAGAGAGAGAGAGAGAGAGAGAGAAAGAAAGAAAGAAAGAAAGAAAGAAAGAAAGAAAGGGAGGGAGGGAGGGAGGGAGGGAGGGAAAGAAAGAAAGAAAGAAAGAAAGGAGAAGGGGAAGGGGAAGGGAAGAAAGAAAGAGAAAGGAAAAAGAAAGAAAAGAAAAGAAAGAAGGAAAGAGAAAGAAAAAGGCATGGTAGGGCTGAGGATATAGCTCAGTTGGTAAAGTGCTTGCCTAGCATGCAGGAAACCCTGGGTTTGAATCCAGCACCACATAAAACTAGGCACGGTAGCATACTTCTCTAATCTTAGTTCTTGGGAGGTAGAGGCAGGAGAATCAGAACTTCAAGGTCGTCCTTAGCTACATAGCAAGTTGAAGGCTAGCCTGGGTTACATGAGGTTTTATCTCAGAAAATAAAACAAAGCCAAAAGGCAGTGCGAAATTGGACAAGGAGGTTTTCTATAGATGTTCGTGCTCTGTTTGTATTATCAAGCTAGGGTTTTTGTATTATCAAGCTATCAAGCTAGTTTGTATTATCAAGCTATCATTGTTTTTGGTCTTGAGACAGGGTCTTCCTGTAGCCCCAGCTGGCCTGGAACTCACTATGTAGACCAGGTTGGACTTGATCTGCCTTCCTCTGCCTCCAGAGTGCTGGGATTAAAGGCATGCACCACCATGCCCAGCTGCCTTTAGCATTTTAAGATGCTTTCTAATTCATGTGTATTATTGTAAAATTTAAGTGTTGCCATGCTAACTCACTGTTTTTCTTAATTCCAGGGAATAATAAATCACAAAGGGAGGAGCTGGACTCTATCCTCTTTCTTTTTGAAGTAAGTTTTTGTTGAATTTTTTTAGCTTTTAAAATCCTTGTTGAAAATAAGCTATTTTATATCTTTAATTTTACTTGAAGGCAAAGGTAAATGGCTCTGAATGGATATGCTCCCCCTCCCTGCTTTCTTTCCTTCCTGCCCTCTACCTACTTTTACAAATGATGCTGCAAAGAATGTTCATGTGATATTTTTTCCCCTCCAAAATATGAGAGAATTGTCCTTGTGTGAATACCTTGATGTAAAGGTTTTTGTGAGGAGAGTATACACATTTTAAATAGTAGTAATAGCTTTTGCTATGTTACTTTCCATAGGAACTTACATGTGAGTCTTATTTGTCCTATACCCAAAAACTGCAGGTGGCCTGTCTTTTTGACATATGTGAATGTGAAAAAGCTCACTGTTTCTCAGCATGGTTTTTTTTTTTACAATTAAAGTTACAGTTTTAACAATATGCAAAATATTACAGTAATTCATATTTTTTGGCATAATGATTACAGATTTGATAAATACATTTTATATCTCATAATAGTGATGAGGATTATACAAAAGCTATTAAAACAATTATGAGAATAAATTCTATTGTCACTCAAGTATCTAAAGCCATTTTCCCTTGCGTTCCTCCAGAATGATTAGCTCTCATTCCCCACCTCAACCTGAGGGACCCCAAGAAGACACTTGTTTTTTTTTTTTGTTGTTTTGTTTTTTTTCATACAGAAGACTTCATTCCAAGAGAAGCCAACAATGGTCGAGCAGGACCTTGGACTTATCTTCACATAGATGGAACTGGTAAAAGAAAGGAGCCAGGGGCTCCTCCCAACACCATGGGACGCCTGAGGAACAGATCCTCTAACGACCTCAAGAGTAAAAACAAATCAGTTTATCTGGTCCAATTGTATGTCCTTAAACACCCAAAAGGGAAGTATAA